AATCTGCCTTGTTTGGTTTGTTTATATTCTGTGCACTGTGCTTGAAAGAATCAATTGATATCAGTGAATTATTCGTTTAGTTGCGGTTTTTATACTCTAAATTTAAATATAGACATCAACCAATTCTCTAATTATATTAATAAATATAGTATTAATACACACATCAATTTAGTAAATGTTTAAAAATTCTTTTAAATATTAGTTTAAATGTTAGTAACTGAAAGCTCTGAAAACGAAAGAAAAATTCTTTTTAAGTATTTTATTACGTTTATAATTTTTCGTGAAATATACGTCTGGTAAATGCATTCAAGTGTCTTCCACAGTCCCCTACAAAAGCGTATAAAATTTGAAGCAAACATGTGTGCACGAGAATAAACCGGCTGTGAATCCAATCAAGGACTTACGGCGTCCACATTCCACATCTAACCTTCCAATTTCTAAACTTGTTGAGTATCTTACCAAAAAAAATTTATTTCCAGAATAGTAGTTTATATATCTTCTGATAATTTTTAAACAAAATAGATTAACTAATTTTATAATCATCCATTTTAATAATTTTGTCTCTCCAATTTTCCATCTATATATGTATTCAATTAGTGAGAAAAATAAATTTTCTCGAATAAACAATATTTAAAATCATAAATAAATAACGAGAGAAAAAAAAGTATATGTGTATGTATTTGTGTTTATGCGATCAGAAAGCGGCATGTGAATGAACAAGAGGTAGCGTGACACGACAAAGCGTTAAGTGATCGATGTTCGTCTTGTGAGAAGTATGGCCACCGTGATTGTCATATATTTAATGGGAATATTACAACTAAAAGCCAAACATCCAAATAGCACGTGTCAGGCACGCGTATTGGTTTCTGATCATCTTCATATCTAAATATTATCAAAAATAGTTTTTTAATATGTAATCAAATTGATATTAGAATTAATGATAATTATACAATTTAAAATATACAAACTATTTTGAAACTTTATGTAACAATCTTCAAAAATGTGTTAAGATTCATCGTTGACAATTTGAGAGATAAAATTAGATATTTGATACAATACATTCTATAACTTTTTACTATACATATATAAGCCTACATTGATGTTTCATCCAATTTTATAACGATTTAGTACGATTAAATTAAAGCACCGCTATCATAAATTAACACATTTCCGCACGAAATGATGTCATCCTGTGCATGGGAAATAAAGGTCTTGTTAATCTTTTTACAGACGATCACGCAGCCAACTCCATCCTCTCCAGCTATTATATCGGTATAATTTCGGAGCGTCTATTGCATAATCGTGCGTAATTCCTTTTATAAATATAATAAATATGGGTAATATATTGCTTGCATTTCTTGCATAGATATAAATTTAGCATATTGAGTAACATTCTCTTTCATTAATCATTATTAATCATCAAACATTATTACCTTATTGCAAATTATTAAAGATGCAAATAAGTATCTACAGCTTTGCTATTCTTCCAAAAATGTACGTTCATGTTGACTCATAAGAGTTATTTGAAATTTCTTTATAGGGAGCAGAGATCTCTGCTCTCCTGACGTTTTTCTTTTTTCGGCATCGGAGCAGGTATCACGGTCCGTTGTAGGTAATAGGTCTCGGATAATGGCGACCTATTTGACCTTCGGTTTCATAGCCAGCCTGCTGCGTATTTCCAACTTCTTCGAAGTTTTTGTCTTCTCGAGATTCTACACACAACTTGTGCACGTTCTAGACGCTTCCTAATGCCATGCCTATATTACGCGATAATATTTCATAGTGATTACTTCGTGTGATCTTGATTCTATTAAAATTAATTTTTTTATGTTTCTATAATTTTAATATATACATTCAATAGATACATTTTCTACATTAATAAAATGCATGTATCACATAATATAATTACTAATATTGTTATTAACTCTAACAAGTTTTATTGGATACAATACACAAATAATTCTAATTTTATTTATATATTGTTATTTATATGTATTTCAAAATTAACTATTAAAATTTATTAATGTCGTTTTTTAGATTTATATTATAGCGCTGCTTATATTACTGCAAATCTCCGCATTAATTATAATCTTATAACAATTACGACATTCACAAAATTGATATTTATCACATTAATTAAAAATTGTTTCTTATTCCTTGATTTAATTGTGTCGAGTTGCCCCGATGAAGACCCACTATTGTAGGTGGATTCGCTTATTATCATGGCACAAAAGCCGCGTGAGTTCCTTACGGATGCTGCAAGCTCTCACGTGGATTTCATTTCAGGATCGCATAAAATGGTGCTGAAGGGGGCAGGAGGGTGAAGGGGAAGAAACACGAGGGGAGAAGAATGGAGTTGTGGAGCAGCCAGGGGGGCGAAAGGGAAGGGAAAGATGCCGGCTGGCAAGCAGATGGTTGCCCCGTTTATTGGTTTATTCGTTGGTTCAGCCATGACGTTCCGTCCGGCCATGAAACAAGCCGGAGACTCTCCTTGTGTTAGAGAATATCAAGCAACGAGGCTACAACTGCTCTTCCTATTAAAACGCATCCGCGAGCTACTTATTCGCGTAGTATGTAAGTAATCGTCAGCATAAACTATAGTAAACGTAACTTTAAACTGGCGATTATTCTCAATAATAAACTCACGTGGATTTACTGTCTATTGTATTCGTTTATTTTTATCCATTTGTTTTTACAACGTTTATGACGCGATACTTTGCATTGACCGATTTTTATTATCTTGCAGATTTTTCGATATGTACTTTGCACCTGATATTCCTGATGCCACGATGAATGCATATATAATACATCTATAGGAGGTAAAAATCTATAAATTCTGTATGTAAGTAACACGAGAATTTTAATTATTTAAAATTGGTATCTGTTGTAAGAATATGTTATTTTATTTTTGTTAACTGCTGTAGTTTAAAAGCAATGTTATATTGACAAGTATTTCATTACGCATTACGTTTATTGCCACCGTGTGCATATACAATATTTTATTACAAAGGTAATTTAACATGAAACTTTTATGTTTACACATTCGATAAAGAAAGTTAATTGTTGTTAATTATCATCTATAAGAAATACATCTATAAATTCTGTATGTAAGCAAGAGAGAATTTCCTTTAAAATTGGTATGTGTTACAAAAATATATTATTTTGTTTTGCCAACTGTTATAATTCAAAAACAATATTATGCTGATAAGTACTTCTTTATGCATGATGTTGTTAATTATAAATTATTAACATAAAAAAGTTAATTATAAATTGTTAATTATAAATTATTAACATAATAAAATATGTTCTTTTTTAATTTGTGCAATTTATTTATGCTACGTATTTTTAACGTATAACATTTATCTTAAAAAATATCTGTCTATACAACCATAATTCACTTCACAGTTAATTAGAAAACATTATAATAGCATCAGTATTATTATTTTTATATCAAAAAATATGCATGATGAAGTAAAGGGATATCAACGATTCTGGTGGCGGAGTGCAAATGTACGCGTTATATAGATGATATTCAGTAATGGCGTCCTGGGGGCGGACAAAATGCTCGGGTCGATAGGAGGAAGGTTGCTTGCCTACGAAACTCAAATACGCTCTTATTGCCGATGATCATCCCCACTTATAATAAACTTTTCTGTGACTTATCCCCAGGAATGTAATCAACATTCAAAACCGATTATATCGTAATAAAGTAAGTATATGTAATTTTAAATTTTATTTAATAGAATTTTTGAAGGAAAATAAAAATTATAAAAGGTACAAAATAACAGTTGTTAGCTAGGGAATTTTAGTAGTGTTGTATTACGTCATGTGTCGGTAAAGTCAATCACAGGATATTATAAAGTACAAAATCAACGTATCATTAGTGACAATCTATTTATAAAAGTAGTCTATAATGAAGAAAATTAAAATAAATTTTTTAAAAATTTTCGAGGTATGTTCAGTTGCACATGTTGCATACAATTTATTTAATCGAAAGTTTAAACTAAAATTTAAGGATATTGACAAGATCGATCAAATAGACTTGGAATTATGTAAATTCCATAACAAAATTTTGTTTTAATTTTAATAAAGTCTAGTAGTCTTTTAATATCTAACACGACATGAATATATGTACCTATATATAATATACAAATAATATGTTAATAATATATATTAGATAAAAATAAATTAACTAATTTAATAATATGCTCTTAATAGTATGTTAAATATATATTTTTATTAAGACGTAGATGTTAAGTAAAGAAATTGTATTAAAATATGATATTTTTAAAAGTTTGTAGATATTTCTTTTAACATTTTATTTGAGATTATTTTTTTCTTGATCCTTAAGAAAACATATCTAAGCAGCTACACCAGTAGCTAAACTCGCTGTTATAAGCTGAAGGGTGCGAAACATTTTGAGTAAGTCAGGTATTTTCAGATCTCTTAATCCGGATCAGAACCCGAAAATCGTCGTTTAAAAGGATCAACATCAGCAGTCCATCTGAGATACCTAATATATCACTAAGAACTCAACATCTTTCCATTTTCGTGACATAGGAAGACAAATTTAGGTATTGTGACATTTCTTCTACGGTATAATCGCTCTTTTTCTACATATAAATATATTAAAGTTTAATATTTTTATTTTGCTACTATAAAATATTATTAAAATATATATTTTATAAATATTATGTTATCCTTATATTGATATATGTTACATTGTATGTTTTCATAAAATATTTCTTTTTCTTCACTAATTGCATGCGAACAGTCAGCGTATACGACATGACCAAGTAACCTGGAAATGAAAGGTACGTCGACACACGTACAGGAATAAAAGGAGCTGTACCGCTAAGAAGACGAAGAAGAAGAAGAAGGAGAAGAAGAAAACCAAGGAGAACGCGACCTTGCTACATTCAGCTGTGTCATCCTTGAGCCGTTAACGCTCAGGTGGTTTCGATCCCAGGGACGAGCATCAATCATCATTGGTAGTGCAGGTGTAATGTGATCATTGTCACTGAGATAACCCAGTACGATATTCACTTACGAAGCGTGTCGAGTGACATAACAGAGTTTATCTATAACAGCGTATCTAAATATTAAAAGAAACGGCTACAATATTTGCTTCTTGATCGAGTACAATTTGTTAAGCCTTTGAAAGATATCACATAAGAATTGTTTACATGTTGCAAAAATTACATGAAAATTTGAAATTATATGCTTTTACGTTATCCATTAATTTATATACTTTAATATATATGCTAATATCTAATATTTGTGTAGCTTCAAAAGTGTCTTTTCATAAAAACACAGGAGATTAAATTAAACAATAATAAAAATTATGATTTTATAAAATTTTTTAACAAAAAATATAACGTAAAATATTGTATTAGTAATAATATGTAAAAAATAACAGCGACAATATTAGTAAAGATGATAATTTTCTTTTAATTTAATTTTCGGGATTTGATTAATTCCGGAAACTAAGTCAAAAGAAAATCAAATACGTAATTGATAAAAAAATTTGCTTTCATTTTATATTTTTACTTTCATAATTATAGAAATTTTGTAATATTTGAATACATTTAAAAAAATTAATTTTATTAAAAAAAACGAATATTGTGTCTTATATAGCATTAACTGATTTTATTTATTTGATATTTTTGACAACGTTATTTTTTCGAGTTTTCGCAGTGTTTGCGCAAAAGCAGGCTCTGCCTCGCTTTCTTGAGGAATGACTCGGCATATCCAAGCTATTTCCGTATGACTGTGCACTTTGTGAGCCTGCGAGCGTTAATTTGAAATTAACTATATTCTATAACTTCAACGATACTCGTTTCTACTAACGCAAACACCGCTAGCGCAGCATAGTTTCGTTGAAAAAATGTGCGTGCATATTTATAAACGATTGCGTTATAACGTTGATAGAATACATAATACATTCCTAACGGAACTAAAGCCTTAATGTAATATTTACAATTGTATGATATAGAAATTAGAAACCGAAACGGATCAAGTTGTGCAAAAATATATTGTCAATTTTAAATTTTCAAAGATATAGCAATAATATTTATAATTTATAAATATTGAAATTTTGTTCGAATGACCGAATTTGTCATATTTATTAATTCTATTCACACAACTAAATTATTTGAAAATTGATATTAATAGGGAAATGATTTTAGGTTTCCTATAATGGTACCTGCGAAGTCTACTGAAGATCACATACTGGGCGGACAAAGAAGTTAAAGACCGGCACGTATACGTTAAGTATTTTTAATATATAAGAAAATAAATGATAGAGATGAACGATGTGCCGTACAAGAAAGCCCAGTTAATGCTCTACATCTACCCTGTAGATCCGAATTTGTTTGATAAGAGGCGACAAATTCGGTTCTAGAGAGGTTTGTGTGGTGCATACAAAGCAACGGTGATCTTTAAATCAGAGGATATCGATCAAAATTATATATATAAATCTAAGAAATTGTTGTTATTAACTTTGCATTGTATATTTAAATATTAGATAAACATTTTTAAATTTGATTTTATTGTGCGTACATATATAACTTTCAACATTAGTATCATTAATATATCAAAATTTTTACCTATGTAACCTATAAATATAATGTACACATACATAAAGCATAAGCTCAAACTCGTGATTATAACGGAATTAAAACATAATATAAATTAATTAAAAATTATATGAATATTATAATTATATATTCGTGCATTGAGTCTGGACATGTGTTACGTGACTGTATGTATAATTAGATAGTTACAATTAAGTCGCTAAATATGCCGTACTTTTGAATTCACTCATGCATATTATGAACGACTTATTTATGGCGACGGAAAAATAACAAATGTAAAAAAGAATTAATGAACATCATTACGCCCATGGACTTGGTTGCATACATGTTGGCGTTCTGTCGATGATGAACTGCTATGTCTAGCGTGACCTGTTGCATATAAGTTCACTCACACATCATATTAAACTGTACATACTTATCGTCCTTTATACAGATAGATTCAAATTCTATTTATAATAAATTTAAGAATGAAATAAGATTTTTGTACAATATCCGTAAAGTTTAGATTTGATAATAGATAATTTAAAAAAAAACTTGAAAAATATTATTCAATAAGATTGAATATTTGATAACAATAGACACTGAAAACTGTAAACGTTAACTATTTTTAAATAATATTTACTACATTCTTTTTACATTTTTTTAATAATACTCTCTATATATTTCTTGTTTCTCAATAATATAATTTATAGAAACATTGTCTTTTAATTTTATTTGGTACATTCTTTTGATTATAAAAATATTATTCAAAATTATTAAATAGTCTATATAAAAAGCAATTTCGATACACTTAAAAACAGTAACATAAAATCATACTAAAATGTTTTAAAAGTTTTATTTTTAACAAAGGTTTGAATAGACACATTACTATATAATTTCAACTACGTAATCTTTTCTGTAATAAATATGCAATAAATATCGTTTAATATTCCAATCTAAAGTACGACACGGTTTTCTTTTATACTTTTGTATCATAATTTTATCATCTTATATCCTTGCAACGACTATTCATTGAATAGACATCACATGCGGATGCACGATTTCTTGAATCTTTCTGTAAAGGCTGAAGCAAATCCATTAATCTCTGATCGTGTTCATATTAAAATGACATGCCAGTCGTTACGCAACTACTCATAAGTGCTAATGAAGTGCATACACAGGTGTAATTACCAATCGAGTGGACTGCCCACTTTTCACTCGTAGCATAATCTAGTGGATAAAAAAGAGTGTTTCATAATGACACGACGAGGAAAAACGCTACCGTCGTAAATCAGCGATTCCCAACTGATAGTTCTCTGCAAATATGCATTAAAATTTCTCTGAAACATGTCATAGAAACGATTAAATTTATATAAATTTTTGCAATTTTATATAGTATAGATTTATTTCTAAATAGAGAATAATGTTTTTGATTTTCAATAATTTTCAGAAAAAAATGTTTATAATACAAACAAAACTCAAAACCTTTGTATATAAAAAAATTGTATCTAAATTAATTAATTACAATTTTATTAAACATTTAAATATACATAATTAATTAGCAAAACATAATTAAATATGTAATATTATAAAAACATTACATATACATATACGTGTATGTATTTCTACTTTAGAATGTTTAATTTTTTATTTTCTGTATGATATCTGTGAATTTATTTTAGAAAAGTAAATAAAAATATTATTAATGTATATATAAAATGTAAATATCGTTCGTAAAAGTATGTAAAAGTATGTAAAAGTAAATATGCAAGATGCACTGGAAATCTGTATATTAGAATTACTTATAGAATCATATACTTTCTACGAAACGAATTTGTCATTGTTTAAAACATATAAATATTTAATTAACATGGAATATTTTTTAATAACTAATTTAATTTAAATGTGTTAATTTTTAATTATGATTAAGCAATTATATTAATGATATAAGATAATTAATTTATACTTTATTTTCGCAGCGTATCACACAATTAATTATTTCACTAATTGTTCGATTATAAATTGACATCTAATCAAGTGTGGCTTGCATATGTATTTTATATAAAAATACGATTTTCGTAGAACTTCGTAGTTTCATGAATAGAAAATGATAACATTCAATTACAATGCAACAAATTAACGTTAGTAACGATTGATATCTGTCCTGTTTAATAAATTCAATTATATATAACAAGTCGTTTCCCCTAAGAAATATTCTATTAAACATTGTTTTAATAATTTCCACTTTGGATTTACTAATAACGCGATGTACACAGAACTGATATGAATGATCCAATCACGCTTACATATTCTTCTCGATGCAGGAAGCATCGGTATCAGTATACTTAACTACACGCGAAGCATACCACCCTGCACCGGAGAGTTATCGCCACGAACATCAGATCGCGATGTTCGCCGGACATTCACGTCACCAGACTCACCATTCTGGTTCGAGTAGCGGAGTGCCGGAGTTGTTCGGATGGAGACAAACGGCTGCACGACGTAGATACGGTTGGACGCGTTTACGTACGTTTCCAGGGATCCTCGCGCGGAGTCTCGTCTCGAGTCTAAATCCACATTCGAATGTGCGAGAAAACATAGCAAGATTAATGATTTTGTGTGACACGGAGGGAGAGGGTGCGCAGACCGCCAGCCAGCCAGCCAGCCAGCCAGCCAGCCTGCTTGCCTGCCTGCTTGCTTGCTTGCCTGCCTGCCTGCTTGCCTGCCAGCGTGATCGCTCGCCGACGGCGACGGCGACGGCGACGGCGACGGCGGCGGCGGCGGCGCGGCGGCGGCGGCGGTGGCAGCGGCGAAGGCAACGGCGACGGTGACTGTGACTGAGGCCGCGGCAGGGAGCACCGCGAGAAAATGTGAACTGCGGCAATAGCTTTACCACTTTTCTCATAGCGTATTGTCCGTATTTCTCCGTCACGCGGCAGCAAGTCGCGGCTTACGAAACTATTGACCCGATTCCATGGATTCCGCACCACTTTAAGCGACGTTCCTCGATTGATCGGACATTGGACAAGGGGGGG